GGTTAAATAAAATTTGAGCCAATCATTTATGTGATATGGCATGATTATTGAGAATAAAAGTGATTTTTTGATCAGAGGTTTAAGCCCAATAATGAATTGCTTATGAATCACTTATGAATTTTACTTATAAATTTGTACCTGATTGTAACCTGATGCTTATAAATTTTGTACATATGTACCTAATTGTGGCCTAATTGTGACCTAATTACTTATAAATCTAATAATCACTGTGTTTCAACTGGAGATTTTCGCCCATATGAATCAGACCAAAAATTTTTTTAGAAAATCGATTAATCAACGATTAATCGATTAGCTGATTAATCGATTAGTCACGATTAATTGACTAGTCAACTAATTGATTATCTAACTAGTCAATTAATCATCGATTAATCGATTTTCAATTTAGTCTAAGCCACTCTTGGAACATTAATGAAAAGCAGATTCTGATTTTATTTTAATGATTCTTCCATTCATAGTAATAAACTAAACTCGCGTTATACATGTACATATGTACATACAGCAAAGATAATATTGATATCGATATCGATATTGATATCAATATATTGATAATATAGTTGAATACGATATACTTAAAACAGATGTTATTAGCACCTTTATTAAATCTCAATTAGCATTTTCATAACGCAGTATAAGATATGTACTTGTTGAAAAAAGTTAATTTAGAACTGGTCATCGCCTTGCTATAAATAATAAAAGAACTTCATTAATACAATATAAAAGATAGAACTTTTTTAAAAAAGAAATCATCGAACCTCTAAATGCAAAAAAGACTACTGTATTATTTGATTTACTCAAACTCTTTATATGAATGCATATAATCTATAATATAATATGAAAAAAAAGTTTATTAGCATTCATCCTAATCTTAATATAAAAATAAAGCAATGTAAGCTATTTAAACTAACCTTAACGCAAAAGAGAAACTTCAAAAAAAACCCATTATCATTTAACTTGTCCATACCCTATGTAGCATGAAAAAAAAACAAACCAGAAGCATACCAAGAGAAAACCTGAAATTTTTTTTCTAATAAGATTTTCCAGTTTTTTCTTGGCATCACTGATACAGTCTAAGTAATGAACATATGAAATTTATAACGTATACATGTACCTACGTATACACACCGCTACTTTTCTAGATTGGATTTTTTTTGTGGACATGTGCTCTTATAGTGATTAGGTTCATGACAAAGTCCACATAGTCTTGTGCTTGCACCTGATTTAGCTTTTTTTTTTGATGTATGATCTTCTTGTGCACCCTTAATACGATTCTTCTTTGGAGCCCCTTTTCCAATATGATTTAAGGGATTAGCAACATTATCAATAGAAATTAGTTGATTATCATCAGTTTTTATGGCTAAAACGTTTTCTGAACTATGGTAATCTCTAAGAATTCTCATTTCTCGTTCTTTAGTTTCTTTTTCACGTTGAAGAGTCTTTTTTTCAATGTAATTTTTCAAGAGAGTATCTAATTCATTATCATTTTCGCTATTCTGTAACGTAATAGCCTTCTTTGCAAGACTCATTGATTTGTTAAATTGAAGCTTCTTGTCTACAGATTTTTGAAAGCTATTTTCCTGGACATCATCGATTCTAAGTAAATTCACGTTTGTTGCATTACATAATTGATGTGTAATCATTGCTAATTCGGTATTTCGATTTGATGTTAAAAATAGTTCTTGAGCACGTTCAGATTCAGTTATATCATCCTTGCACCAACGAATAGGCAACAGCATTATATGGAACCTTGCAAAATCTGATTCAAGTAACACACAAAAAAAATGTCGACATATGAGCCCATGATTAACCGATAAAAGGCAAGTACATAGATGACGTCCATTTTTATACAATATAACATAATGAACAGACTTAGTCGAAATCAAGCATGTAATTCTCCAAACTTCTTTAACAGAAGAATATTCATTTTCTTTAATTAAAGCCAATAAATATGATTGCGAAACATCATATGTGTTTTCAATAAAATCATCATCATATGTAACGTCTTGTAAATTTAATAAATCAGAATTCCACGACTGTAAAATAGAGCAGTTAATTAAAATAGCAAATAACGATAAAAATAACCCCAATATCACCTACATACGTTTAATATTTGAGCCCGGTAGATAGTTGATTGAACTATCTGCTTTTGTTGCTCAGTTGCTAAATTTGGTGTTAAATACTTATTTATTTGTTGAACGACTTGTGGAAAAACAGTCTGTAAAACAAGATTATCATTATAATTAATTCAGTCCTGAGACCACAAATTAAAATGTTGACTAAGGCTTTTACGCTCAATGCGTTGGTGTATTGCTTCCATTACTTGTAATAAAGTTGATGAACTATTTATAGCAGTTTTGATATGATTATTAAGTCCTTCAACTCTCTGTGTCGATTGCATTCCACCAGTAAAAATTTTAAATGTATAAGCACATGCCCACGATTCTTTATTTAAAAATAGCTTTTGTAGATACGAAGATGCAGCCGGATAATTATTCAAAAGATTTGTAAATCTAGCCTCAAATACACTTTCACTTAAACTATTACACGCCAAATAAAAATCTTTAATAAAATCTGTATACTGCATGCCAAGCTTACATCGAAGATTTTTTAAAAGATTTTGACTTAAATGATACAAACAAAATAAATGTTTGGTATTCGGAAGATCATGAGCTACAACATATTTCATGGAAAGATCTTCATCCATCATTAAAATTCTTGGCAAAATTCCAGTAGCTTTTTTTAATTGCCCCATAACCCAACGAAAAGATTCAATAGTTTCATCAGACATTAAAGCCTGTGCTGCGATTCATGTTTTGTTATGATTATCAATTAAAACAAAGAGACACAAAGGAAAATTATAATAGTTTGTTTGTGCCATATTGTCTTGAACTATTATGTCACAAAACCGAATCCATCTTTCACGTTGACCTGGGTCCATCCAAAAGATTCCACGGAGACGATTACTAATAGAGTCAACTAAGGGTTCAATATACCAATTAGGATCCTTTTCTCTATATTCATAAAGTTGTTTTAAAAGCTGTGATGCTTCACTTCCTTCCACATTATGTTCTCATCATAACTGAGCCACAACATTTGCAAGATCACGTGTTAAGAAAAGCTGGTCAGGGTATTTAACAGATAGAAGAGATCATATTGTCGACAGGTCACACCGACCATTTACTGTTAAATGGCGAATTTCTTCACGACAATCATCAGAGAATCGATGATTTACAGGAGCAAAAATTTTGGTATCTAGTGAAAGTTGATGCTCAACATGGTTATCATTAAAACTAGTAATTCGAACCACACCAGTTGCAAACGACAGATTAGCTTTCCAATCACAGTTAAGTTTTTTAGAACCTTTATTATGTTGATTTTGTAAGTTATTAGTTTTCTTTAGTTGATATGTTCCACTAAATTCACATTTATAATACAGGTTTATTAAACGTCCATTACGATCAGTTTTATTACGTATCTTAATTGGTACAAATCCTTTTTGACGGCCATATTCAGCAACATAATGTTCTGCAATTGACCAGTTAGGAAAAGTATTATCAATGGCAAATACGATTGCTTTGTTAATATGAGGTAATGCGCTATTAATTCCAACCAAATCTTGTCCTTTATGGGTTTCATGCACTTCATCATGTGTTTCATCATGCACTCCATCATATGTTTCATCATGCACTTCATCATATGTTCCATTATACGTTTCATCACACATTTCATCACGCATTTCATCACGCATTTCATCACACGTTTCATCACATAATGTTTCTTGAGGGGAGTCTATTAATTCTTGAAAAGAATTTGGAGGGGAATTCATTACTTTTTGAGGAAGGTCCACTAATTCGTGAACAGATTCTAAAAATTCTTGAGGAGAGGGGTACAAATTTGAGACTTGATGTCTCATAAAATGTTCTGAGTTGAAAGTAAATTCTATAAATCGTAATTGTTTGGAGTAAAAAAGATCAGGAGGAAGGCTAAAAGTAATATCCGCACAGGAAAACAACCACAAAAAAGAATTAAAGGTCAATAGAATGAAATAGTTGACGTCTAAAAAATAAAGATAAGTTAAATTCAGAAAATATTCTTATAAACATAAACACCATGATATCCATACCACTTTACTACAAAAAAAGCCACACTTCAATTTGACGCTTCAATTAGAAAACCACCCAATAACCTTATGAAGGTACAAAAAATGCAAAAACCAAAAAGCCACCCAGCGCCTTTGCAAAAGTCAGAAAACCCGTTAATAAAGAAGTTTAACATATTTTACCAAACACATTTATGAAGGCAAAAAATTACCTGACACTTTAATTAAAGTGAAAACCACACAACACCTTTTCTAAGACAAAAAAAAGCTACACGCAGTGAAATCACTTAGCACCAAGTGCCACCTGACACCTTTGTAATAACAGAAAGAACCTTCAAACATATTCATAAAGAAGAAACTGTTAATTCAAAGTTCGATTAAACGCTATCTCATCAATATTATGAACACAAAAACTACCTGGTACTTGACTAAAGCAAAATGAGCTACTAGACACCTTGTAAAGGAAATAAAGAGCCACGTAATACCTTGTAAAGCGAAAGGACACCTGGTATTTGTAAAGGCAAGAAATATTGAAGAAATTTAGTGCCTACTATTCATTACACTTGCGAATCAATAAAAAAAAAGGCTGACGTCTTGATCAAAATGAGATGAACCAACAGACACCTTGTAAGGAAAGAAAGAGCCACGTAACGCCTTCGAAGAGCAATAAGACACCTGGAATTGTTGTAAAAACAAGAAGCACCGTTAAAGAAATTCAGCGACTACCATTTTACTAACACTACAATTCAAAAAAAAAAAATGCCAGCACCTTGAATAAAGAAAAGCTACCCACCTTCGTAAAAGAAATACTTTGTAAATAGAGAGAGCCACCCAACACCTTGTAAATAGTAAGAGCCACCCAACACCTTTGTAAAAGCAAAAACCACCCAACACTTTCGTAAGCGAAAAAAGGTCACTTTGATATTTATAGATAATCAAAATAACGTGATATCAAAAGTTTATATATGCAAAATTAAATCATGTGATATGGTGCGATATATAACATAGTGTTATATATATAATATTTCATAAAAAAATTAAAATATATATATTAAAAAAAAAAGCAATTCATAAAAAAAAATTTAAAATTCAAATAAAATTAAAATATATTATTCTTGACAACTAGCGTTTTCAGAAGGAGGTAGAGGTAGTGAGTTAATTGGAGCAGATGTGGATAGTTGCAGATCTTTTTGTGAAGATTCAGATTTATGCAGAATATTTTGAGAATGTTTAAATAGTTGTGAATTAGAATAATATGATGCAGGTGAGCCAGGTGTAGATATAATGGAAATTGGTAAAGTCTTGGCTTGTTTTTTATTCTTGTCAGTGTGGGAGGTGGTAGCAACCTTTCTTCTTTTTCAACTATGTGCATTTGAAGATAATATTGCTTCAACTAGTTCATCTTCATTGAGTGACTCTTCATCATCGGTAGCTAGGGGACGACAAGCAGTACTATTTTTTATCTTTTTCTATTTTATTAATATTAATAATATTAGAATTAATTTAAATATATTTAAATAATATTAATATAAATAGAGGTATGGCGATCTAGTGTAGTGGTTAGGTTGTCACCCTCACCAAGTGGCAGGTCAAGAGTTCGAAACCTACCGAGGACAGAAAATTCGAATAATTACCTGTATTACGGCAACCGTCTTTCATCGATCAGTTGAGATAGGATACCTGTAACTATGGTCGCACTAGCAAGACTGGCAGATCTGGGGCATCCATGCAACTCTAGAGTTACACAAAGGAATGCAAACCAGTAGTTGGCGGTGCAAACACTAGATAAGTCTATAGGTCGTATAAATCCATAGAACTGGGAAGACAGAAGCCTATTTGGGAAGACCTGAGTAAAAAGGTAGCACAGATCTTCAACGGTACTACTGTAAAGACTAGACCCAGAAAAAGGAAACCGAAGTGAAAGAACCGGACGGGGCACGATCGGTGTGTGGTAAAGCCAGTCCACCAACCAGGCTGCCGGGCTAACCGAGGAAAAGGTCATAGCTGTGCTGATAAACCAAGGACAGGTCACAGTCCTTCCGGGCCATCTGGATTTGGAGTCTGGAACCAAAGTGGAAAGGAACCAAAGTACTGGGGATATGCTATGAAGTGGGTACCGGGGTTTGGGTGAACATTGCAAGGGCATAGCCCTGTTAATAGAACTATAAAGTAGGTAGGTTGTTGACAGGGAGGCATCCTGAGCCTTGCTACTGGGTGATGTACTCCTTATAAAGAGTACAGCCTAGGTCTCTAGCACAGAAAAGGAGACCACATGTCAAGTTAGACGGCACTTGTATGGAAACTTAGGTGCTAACTGCTAAGTGGGTATAGAAAATCAGAGAGTTTAAATAGGCAATCTCCTAGTAGGTTGTAGGTATGGCAACTAGCATAGAACCTTTGGGCGGACTACTTAAATAGGCAATCAAAAGTTGTACGTGTGACTAGTTGTACACTTGTTAATATACTAAAAAAATATCTCAATATAGACATACAAAAAACACAATAAAGCATTAAGCAACCGTGATATCAGTCTTTAACAATAAAAAAAAAAAAAAAAAAAAAAAAAAAAAAAAACATTAATATAAATTAATTATATATTACTTACTATATTTTTATTTATTCTATTATGTGAAATCTCATCACTCATAATAAGCTTTTCATAATAGTTACTAAGAAAAATTTGACATATAGTCAAGATAAACACAAATTTCATATTAGTAGATGACTTTGTAAGCCAAGAATGCACAACAATTTGGGTAAAGTAGGTCTTATCAGATGTATCTAGATCTATTTTTCTATAAAGCAACTTGTATGCACGCTTAGTTTTAGCTGAGTTTTTCCATTCTAAAATAGTCTGCAGAGTTGCCTTAGTATCGATTTTATTCAACATGAACTCTTCAAAAACTGCAAAAAGTAATTCCCTAATTTTTGCAGAATATCGACTATGTTTGGAATGATGCTAGGCTATTAGCTATAATAGTTAAAATACAAAATATAAAAAGATAAAAAATGGTACTGCTTGTCATTCTCTAGCTACCAATAATGAAGAGTTACTCACTGAAGATGAACAAGTTGAAGCAACAACATCTTCAAGTGCACGTGGTCAAAAAGAAGAAAGATTGCTACCACCTCTCACACTGACAAGAGTAAAAAACGAGCCAAAAATTCACCAATTCTCATTACATCTACCTCTGACTCATCTGCATTATATTATTCTGATTTACAATTATCTAAACATTTACAAAATATTTCACATAAATCTGAACCTACTCAAACTAATCTACAACTATCCATATCTGCTTCAATTAACCCACCACCTCCATATCTTACTGAAGACACTGGTTGTCAAGAATAATATATTTTTATTTTATTTGAATTTTAAATTTTTTTTTATGAATCGCTTTTTTTTTTTTTTTTTTTTTATTCTTTAACAGTCTTGTCGGTGCTCAAATACAAATTATATTACTATTAGACTAAAAACACAGTTTCGATCTCTAATAATATCTA